TTGCTTGTGAATTTGTCGTTGAAGAAAAACAAATCATCTTTGGCAATATCCTTGCTCATTGGCTCCTTGCGGAGAACGTTCTTCCCCTTGACACAAGCAAGCGACTGCAAACACCTCTTAAGATCTGACAAGGGAATCTCTGTTGCCTGTTCGATGTCTTTATAACTCAACATGTCAGAATTGTTAAAGAGCATGAGGATACACATCTGGTATGTGGAAACATTAAGCTCGTGCTTCTGTCCTTTCCCAAAGGTCGCCTTAATGTCAGCGGTTCCCATGTTTGTCTGCCATGTCAGCCTCCTTCCGGTGTGGGTCCCAAGGTAGTAGGACTTGAACTTTTCACACACCCCGAGAATCTCTGTGGGGAGGTTGCACGGGGTGACTGATTGTGTGGGCCAGGATCCGGTGGTGAGGACCTGGACAGCAAGTGTGGGGGAATCAGACAGTTCAGCTGGACCCACAGCTGCATAGAAGCCCTGCATGGTGTCCTGTGATGTCTTCATGTCGGTGAACATGCCTTCCAGTTTTGATGTGAACTGATACCCACACTCTGTTTTGAGCTTAACTATCAAACTTCTTTCGGCATCATCGGAGACAGTCTTCCCAGAAAGGAGCCGTTTGGCAAGGTGCTGTTTATAGTACTTCTCAAAAACATCCTTTTCCTGAAGGTACCGGAAAAGCGTCATAACTTTGTCCAATAGAATTTCAACATCCTCTTCGCTAACCCCTTTCAACCCTTTCCTGAGATTGTCATCCACAAACAAAGAGATGAACTCGGGAGATCGGGGATTCAAGTTGATGAAATACTCAAACGAGGAGTTTAGGGCATTCTGGAACATCTTATCATTGTTAAAGGCCTTGCTTATAATCCTGTCATGTTTATCCTTCTCGTCTAATAGCCTTTGAACAAAATCAACAGGATCCTTTGACTTTTCTGGATCGGTGACAAGTTGCTTCCCGATTTCTCGGATGTGAGAAGTCATTACATCTTTTAGTAGTGACAGTCCATTTGATACTCTTCTGAACAGATTGTACATCCTTCCCAAATCATCATACTTATCATCAAGAATCAAATTCACTAATCCTGAATTTTCCATGTGAACTAACCTCTGCATATGGACTTCGACCATCTCCCTCTCCACAACAGCAGTGATTTTCGCCTCACTTCTTCGATCCAAGTAATGAGAAACCCTCTCAATCTCTTCATTGAGCCTTTTCTCAGCCTTCTTCAAATACTGCCCACAGTCACACGACTCTATGAAACTCTGAGACTCGACCTGGTAAAAATCGGCCGAGACCTCAAGGAAAGGAATCTCAAAGTTGTTCTCATAAACTGAAATACCTAAATCTATCAGCATTTTAGTAATATTCCTCATTAAGCTCCTATTTATAACTTCCCCGGTCCTCTCTTGTTCCACGAGTTTGAGAAGTGTGTCCTGAAGCCTTGTTTGGATTTTGACAGAGTGAATAACATTGTCTCTCCATAAATTCAGTCCGAGCTCATAAACCGGTGTTTTGTGTGTATTAGAAATGAAAGTCCTGTCCATATACATTAGTATGTCACGGATCATTTGCAATGCCTTGTTATGGTCATCCCACTTTCGGTTGAGCTCTTCCAGAAACAATCCGCCCTGGGCAGCCTCTATTGACTTTGAAATCTCTTTCAAATGTACGGTCAAAGTCAACACGAGGCCAGAGTAGAGCGTTTCTCCAAATTTATGTAGAACCATGTTGTATGCATTCCTGAAAACACCACATATTACAGGTGTGTTTGGATCATGGAAAATATTAGTAAGGGAAAAAAGAAATTGCCAAGGGAAGTAACTTTCTTGTGTTTCATTTTACCACAGATGTAATGAAAAATATAATATGAATAATCTTTTAAAACATGTCACACATGTTTACGTTTTTAGCCTTTATACAATGTAAATAGATAAATAAAATGAGTTTGAACTTTGAGCCAATATAAAATATATGGAACTTAAACAAACTCAATATTTTCTCTCAAATTTTCTTAACTTCCAAATTTCCCTTTTATGATCCTCCCTATTTTCTTGCCCTGGCAATTTCAAAGTTACAAAAGAGACTCACATGCCATAAGAAAAGTGAAATGTAGCATAAAACAAGCTAATAACTCCACATTCAAGAAGTGCAATAATAATTCTCTATTGGAAAACATGGAGTTTTGTCAACCATAAAGCAGTGAAAATTGAGAAACATAATGGCAAATAACCAAAATGCCTACCAGGAGTCCATGATAACTCAATTACTCCCTCCGTCCCAGAAAATTCTTCCAACTTTCCTTTTTGGGACGTCCCAGAAAATTCTTCCAACTTCACCTTTTTTATTATTTGTGTGGCTCACATTCATTTCACCTTTTTCTTACACAACTACAACCACACATTTCCACTTTATTCTCACTTTCTTAAACTCCGATCCAAGTCAAACTAGGAAGAATTTTCTGGGACGGAGGGAGTATAAACAAGCTAAGATTCCCTATTCTAGAGTATAATAAATGATTAAATCTCATTGCTGAAAAGAACTGGGAGTTATGCAGCCATAAGAGAGAAAGCTATGAATAGTTATTGGCACTACAACATGAGATCAACCAGATAGTTCCCTCAAATGTCCAGAGAAAAGCCAGTATAAAGTTCCTCAGCTACTTCAACAGAGAGACATGTTTCCTTTATAGAAATGCCTAAATTGTGACTTAAATATATACGTAGTACAAATTAAGCAAGCCATACAAAAGCATTTATTCTGTACATTTCTTCATCATTCTACCATTTCAAGATCACATTGTAGCACAATTGATTTTTTTTGTTCTACTTATAATTAGAAGAACATAATATCTTGTCACCCAAGAAAAGGTGAATGACAAGGTCAAAAAACCTACAAGAGTAACAAAACTGCAGCCTGCAGGCATCCTTCTTTTCTACCATTGCTCATGTTATCAGAATAAATCAGAACAGAGTATAAGGAATATGTGCTGAAATGAGAAGTAACACGGAAAGAACCAGACCACACAAAATTTCAAATCTAAGCAGCACTTCAGCAGCAACATCAAGCTTATGCATTTAAGTATTCTACTATTCTACGATATCACAACCAGATACTGATCAAATACACCATGATACGCATGTAGCAATATATACATATGTATAAGAATAAGCAACCCAAACCTATAGAGCTCTTCAAAACTAAGGCCACTGGCGTTATGATTGTATATCTCGTGAATCGCGTGCTCAATAATACTCCAGGTCTTCTCTGCGTATTTCGGATCTACCACGACCCGATGCTTAAAAGCTCCAATCTGAAAGTTCCTCTTTTTCGGCGCACTCATCTCTCGCTTGAACCGTCAACTCCTCGAAACCACGCTCCTCTCCGTTCCTTTAATTCCAAAATTCAAATCGAATCGCGTCGATATGTCGGTCTTCCGATCTGATTTAGAAGTAGGGCTTTTCCGCAGAAATTGATTCAGGTTCTCCACAGAAATGGAAAAACTATAGTAACAAGTAGCAACAAGAAATACTTCACTACTTTCACAAATAGCACATAAACAAGTAGCACAAATAGTATAGGAAAATTTTTGGTTTACATGGTTTACACAAAAACTCCTAGTTATCTATATACAATTGTAGACAGGCAATTCGTTTAAAAGGGGACAGGACTTGATATCTGTGTACACAGACAATGTACACATTTTTTGTACATCTTGTGCACACCAAGAATGGTCCAATGGTATAATAATTCCTTTGTCCTTCTTATACTAGGACGGAAGAGAGTGACATTATTAATAAGAAAAGTGGATTTGTATGGTTGATATTAATTGATAAAGTAAGAATAAAGTAAAAATGATTTAGACCACACAAACTTTACCAAGTATGGTATGAGACAATTTTAGTGGGATTCGCAAAAAGGCAAAACGGAACAATATAAGGGGGGCGGAGGGAGTGTCTGTTATGTTTTTTGCTCTCTCGGAACAGGAACAATTTTCACAATTAGATCCAAACACCTAATAATCTCCTGGACTGAATCCTAATTACTTTCATTCATGATTGATTGTTGGGTAAAGCAAAGCATAACCTTCAAAACTTATATTGTTAGGAGTAAAAGGGTTTGAAATTTCAAATATGGTTATGTTTTTCTTTCCGAAATAGAAGTCAACACTGTTATGATTGAAAAATCCTATCAAATATGGTTATGTTTTTCTTAAGCAAGGAGATGGTGTGACTTCAAAACAAAAAAATGGTTATGTTTTTCTTTTCGAAATAGAAGTCAACATTGTTATGATTAAAAAATAGTATCAGTATATACTAACTTCAAGATGGTAGCAAATACTACTTGTAATGTGACACCGCTCCCGAAGGTCCTTGAAAATTTGATTTAAAATTCAAAGTTTATGTATTGGATTTCTGATTTCCAAACATTTGTTAAACGATTAATGTTTTACGTAATTAATGACCGATTATTATACTGTTCGAACTCGTATATTAGTATCGGGCTGGCGAATACTCATTTTGGGCCCAACCTGCTAAAAAATAGCAAGTATTCGAGAATGGCGTCCTGGATCCACTCGGGAGTGACCCACACAGCTAGTAGTCCAATAATATGTATGACAAATGTCAAATAAGTGATAGAATGATTAAAGGAGAATACAAATGCCTATAACCCCATCTTTGGCATTATTGAGCTAAATAATGGGAGTAGGATTTTCCTCCTATAATATCCATCAAGTAAATTATTGAGATGAGCCTACACATATTGGAGACCAATAATGTGATGTAGGAAGTTGACTTGTTCTAAATAAATTAGGATGAGTACAAAAAAGACATCTATTGACAAAAGATAAAACAATAGGACCCATCTTCCCATTTTTTTGGAAGTATTGGTAGATATTTTGGACCCCAAAATGATTGGGATCAATTGGGAACCACTCCACATGCCTTGGTAACATGATTGAGAGCTCTTGTATACTCCCACAACCCCCCATTCGACCCCCCAAAAGAGATAAGAGAGCAAAGGTATCCACACAACTCAAAAGGGAAGGAAGAAGGAGAGCAGTCCGCAGGTTCTTTCTTTAGTGCGAAGCTCTTACTGTTCGAGCCATAACTTGAGATTTACTCGTCCGATTAAGGCGTATAAGGTACCAAAAGAAAGCTCTCAAGACGAGGAATCCGTGGAGGTCTGGTTTGCATCAATCGGAGTAGTGGAAGGCTTCCAGATTGTCCGAACAAAACGCAACCTCGCAGAACACAGTTTTGTATTCAAAGTAAGTTTGAATCCAAAACCTTCCTTTTCATTTTCCAAATGATATGAACGATTGGTGGGACTATTATACACTACTAGGAGTGTATAATATGTCCTTATGAAGTTATTTTATTGATGTAAAGGTTAGATACTAACCTAGATGCAAATATTGGAAAACTAGGAATCGAGTTAGCCGGAAAACACCCGTTCTAGGGGCTGTTTTCGTATCAACGATTAAGGGTTGAACTAGCACTTTGAGGAGGCTGTTTAACACTCATATTTGAGCAAGGAATCAGTTCCAAATCCACCTTGACCAAAGCTTTGACCATTGGACCAAGAAGGGAAAGTTTAAAGCTCAATTGAGGTGAGGATGACCGACTATATTGCTTATAATCCTTGGGTTAATTTCATAAGATTACCTAATATAATTAAATGTGATTTTCATGGATTATTAATGATTAATAATGCCTAATGAAAATATTGTTGTTTATTAATAGAAGATGCATAATATACAAATTTATGAGTAAATGGTGTATAGTTATGCATTGTAAGAATGATGATATGATGAATGTATAAATCATGAATTTCTGTGATGAAATATGCTTTTAATTCATGTATAGAAATCATGAATGGATAAAAGTGATATTTTTGATATTGAGATTAAATCATATATAGATTGGGAAATTCATGGGAATGAGCCTTATAGCTATGAATTAAAGAGCTTGGTGGCTCAAAGACAAATGGATTAGTATTGATTTTACTAGTCGGAAATGTTAGTATGAAAAGTGATAGAACAAATCCCAAGGGCTTGGATTGTGAGAGAGGTACACCTTAAGTAGTCTTATGAGATGTCTTAAGGTAGAAATGGGTAAACGCTAAGTTACCGTAGGAGTAGGCCTCAAAGGCTACTCATAATAGAGGAACTCTAGGCATAGAACTTGCTTAGTGAACTAGTATCGTGACTAGAGGAAGCCTCTAGCACGATGAAGAATGACTGGAGGAAGCCTCCAGCATTCGTGTAGGACGACTAGAGGAAGCCTCTAGCGTAACGTAATGTGACTGGAGGAAGCCTCCAGCACAACGTATGTAAGGTGATTAGAGGAAGCCTCTAACACCAAGTGGAGTGACTAGAGTCAGCCTCTAGCACGATGAGGAATGACTGGAGGAAGCCTCCAGCATTCGTGTAGGACGACTAGAGGAAGCCTCTAGCGTAGTGTAAGATGACTAGAGGAAGCCTCTAGCATAATGTAATGTGACTGGAGGAAGCCTCCAGCACAAAGTATGTAAGGTGATTAGAGGAAGCCTCTAACACCGAATGTAGTGACTAGAGTCAGCCTCTAGCACGACAAAACATGACTAGAGGAAGCCTCTAGCATGGTAAACTGATATAGATGGGTGTGGCTTGAAGTCACGGGAGAAGGGTTAAATGTTTTCAAAGTAAACATGAGCCTTCGGCCGATTACTTGACTTTATATATAAAGTAAGTATATTTGTAAAGAGGGTAACCACGAGTTATGACCTATATTGTAATATCACCCTATTTGAGGGTCTTGGAAATTGAAACGTTGATTATACTTAGTATAGTTGTCATTGTACTTGTCAAATGCTTCCAAGTACTGACCTCCCCTTCACGGGGGAGGCCACCTCACAGTTTCAGGTAGGACTTGAAGGTTGCTACCACGCCCGTTGCTTCGGGAAGATCAAAGGAGGAGGACGTGGTTCGTGCTTCTTCCGTTTCTGTTTTAAACAATTACAATAATGCTCATGGGAATTATTTTGAATACTATTTGGGGGCTTGTATGCCCATGTTTGCCACGTGTGGCTTGAATACGTGTATTAATGTTTCCGCTGCTTTATATGAATATTTTACATTATGTTTGTTTATGGATGTACTATGTGTGAATGGTATTCAAGACGCCTAGTATAGTATGGATGAGTTGGACTGCGGTTGACTATTCGTACTGTACGGCGGGTTGTTGACGTGTCCGGTAGGTCCGGGGCGTGACAATTAAGTTGGTATCAGAGCCTTAGTCCGTAAACTTCATAATGAAGCTTCAAAATCCCTTTTGAAAATGATTTTGAAAACCATGAGCATAAAAGTTTTGCACTTATAGAACTTTTGGTACTTGAGTTGCAGTGTCTCTAATTGTTAAGATGGTACCCTTAACAATTGGTATGACGGTGATTTGAGCCAAAGGATGTCTTTAAGTGCCTATCCGTCACTTGACATTGATACGAGTCTAATGGCTCATTCTCAATTTCTTTCTGAAATGGAACGTACCGGGAAAGTTACTCGACGGAACCCGACTGGCCAGGCACCGGGAAGGTCCCAACGTGGCAGTCGGGGAGCATCGAGGATGTCCGGGGGACAAGGTCGTGCAGGCCACTCGCTGACCGTGAGTGACGGTCACGTGGAAACAATAGATGAGCACTATGAGTCCGAGGAAGATTCAACTTACCAACCGGGAACTGAGCCGGTTGACACCCCATATGATGGGGAACACGATGATGCTAGTGATGAGAGTGATGATAATGACGCTCTTGAACGGATTGAGGAATTGCTCCGGCAATACCAACAAGATCGCCAAAGGCGCCGGGAAAGGCGTGCTTTGGAAGGGGCTTCGAGGAGAGGAAGCCGCGCGACTCCTAGGGAGAGCATTGAACTCCGAGGAGGTCGAGGTGCCGAGGTTCCTATCATAAGGATCTCAAAGTACCTAAAGGAGGCAAGAGACTTGGGATGTAAACCGTTTGATGGAACGGGAGACATCTCCGTGGCGGCCGAGTGGATTAAGAGATTCAATGAAACGGCCCTTGATATGCAGCTGCCACCCCATATGAAGATGAGAGTGGCAACAAGATTGCTAGAAGGAATGGCGTCCACGTGGTGGGACGGTGTCAAAGGGAAGTACGGTGAGGCGGTCACTTGGGAGAACTTCAGGCAAGAATTCTTTAGCCAATACTACTCCGACTTCGAGGTGAACTTGAAGAGGAGGGAGTACACGAATTTGACCCAAGGAGGGGAATGCACGGTGAAGGAACTTGAACACAAGTTCAGAAAGCTTGCTGAGTTCATACCGGAGTACATTTGTGATGAAAATCGGATGGTGAACCATTTCTGGGATGCCTTGGACCTTGACATACGTGAGAGGGCAACACAATTGCCTAATATGACATTTAGTCAAGTGGTGGAACAAGGTTTAAAGGGAGAGAAGGAGTGGGAAGAGAGGAAGCGAAGAAATGCCGAGGAGGCAAAGAAAAGAAAATGGGAGAACCATGGCCCCCAAGGTTCAAACAAGAAGATGAATCACGGGGGAGGAGGATCCTTCAGGGCACCCGCACCACCATCAAGGGGGAATCCCAACATGGGTGGGCAAAACTCGGGGTTACAAGCCTCGACGAAGCCTAAGTGCAGGAATTGCAAGAGAAATCACGAGGGCAAATGTCGTGATCCCCCACGGTGCTACCAATGCGGAGATACGGGGCACATAAGGCCTAATTGCCCTCAACTTGGTGGGAACCGGTCATCAGGACCAAACGTGGCAACCACGGTGAGTAGAAACCGGGGTGGGGCACCCAATGCAAGCACGAACCACGGCGGGGCAAGTACAAGCAACGCACCCTCCGTGAACCAAGGAAGGACTCAAGCGAGAGTGTACGCAATGACCGAGGCCGATGCTCGGGCTAATCCCGACTCCGTCGCAGGTAATACACTTATTCTGGTCATTTCTAGGCTTACTTTGATCATATACGTCGTTGGGATTGAGTACGGGCCACCCCGGGGTCAAACCGGGTGAGTTAGGCCAAATCGGGCTGGAAACAGCCACTGCTGGCCAGGCACGCCCGCAGACACGCCGTGCCTGGCATCGTGCCTGGAAGGCAGTGGCACCCGAAGAAAAGAAGAAAAAAAAAAAAAATTTGGGCCAGGCACGGCCGCAGGCACGCCGTGCCTGGCGTCGTGCCTGGAAGGCAGTGGCGCCCCGAAGAAAATTTGGCCAGGCACGGCCGCAGGCACGCCGTGCCTGGCACCGTGCCTGGGAGGCAGTGGCTGGCAGGGAGAATCCTGTGCACGCACGGCCGTGCGTGCCACCCAGGCACGCCGTGCGTGGACCCCCGGCAACCGAAAACTCATTTTTTCGCTCCGTTCTTCTACGTTTGGACCCCCGATTGATTCCAAACAGTAATATGAACCTAATAACCTCCTAATGATGTGTAAAAACATTAGAAAAGGTATCCCACATGACTATAAATGTAGGAACACTAAAGATTAATGGGAAGCATGCGCGAATCCTTATCGATACCGGAGCGCAACGCTCATTCGTAAGTGAGGCGTTCGCCGAGGGCTCAGAGATACAATCAATACCAATGACGCGAACTTTAGTGGTATCAACACCACTAAGGGAAGACGTTGAAAGAACCAAGTACTATCAGTCTTGTATGGTGGAAATCGGTGGCCAAACCTTGACGTGTGATTTCGTCCCGCTGAGTATGATGGAGTTCGATGCAATCCTAGGGATGGATTGACTAGAAAAGCATCATACTAGGGTAGATTGCGACACAAAGGTCTTGGGACTCGAAGGCAATGATGGGGATACCCTACGCTTCGAGGGGGACCGAGGCAAATCAAACAGCTGTATCGTATCCGCTGCGAGAGCGAGAAGTATGATGAGAAAGGGATGTCACGCTTATCTAGCATACGTGGTTGACAAGACCAAGGAGGAAACGAACATCGACGATGTGAGGGTGGTTTGTAAGTACCCGGATGTCTTCCCAAAGGACCTGCCGGGGCTTCCACCTGATAGGGAGATTGAATTTGTGATCGAGGTCGAGCCCGACACCAAACCAATCTCCATACCGCCATACCGTATGGCACCCGCTGAACTTAACGAGTTAAAAACCCAATTGCAAGAGCTTTTGGATAACAGTTTCATCAGACCAAGCCACTCCCCATGGGGAGCACCGGTCCTTTTTGTGAAAAAGAAGGATGGGACACTTCGAATGTGCATTGACTATCGTCAACTGAACAAGGTCACAATCAAAAATAGGTATCCCTTGCCTAGGATTGATGACTTGTTTGATCAACTACGAGGAGCAACCGTGTTTTCAAAGATTGACTTGAGGTCGGGGTACCATCAATTGAAGATTAAGGAGGATGACATACCAAAGAGTGCTTTCCGCACAAGGTATGGGCATTTTGAGTTCCTTGTTATGTCGTTTGGGTTAACAAACGCCCCAGCAGCATTCATGGACTTGATGGACCGAGTATTCCATAAATACTTGGATCGATTCGTGATTGTGTTCATAGATGACATTTTGATTTACTCAAAGAGTAAGGAAGAGCATGAAGAGCACTTGATACTCGTTCTTGAGACGCTACGGGAGAAGCAACTTTATGCCAAATTTTCTAAATGTGAATTTTGGCTAAAGGAAATTGGCTTTCTCGGGCATGTGGTTTCGGGATCGGGAATTGCTGTTGATAATAAGAAGATAGGGGCCATTACCGAATGGGATAGACAAAAGAGTTATGCAGATAAGCGTCGAAGAACCTTAGAGTTTAAGGTTGATGACGAGGTATTCTTGAAAGTTTCTCCTTGGAAAGGGATCATTCGGTTCCAAACCCGAGGAAAACTTAACCCACGATATATAGGTCCATTTAGGATTATAGAGAGGATTGGAGCCGTTGCATATCGTCTACAGTTGACTCCTGAGTTAGAGAAGATACATAATGTGTTTCATGTATCCATGCTTAAGAAGTATGTGCATGATCCTTCTCATGTGTTGGAGAAGCCGCCCGTGGAGGTACGTGAAGATTTGAACTATGTCGTGCAACCGGTAAGAGTTATTGACAGAAAAGTGAAGAAACTGAGGAGTAAAGAAGTTCCAATGGTTAAAGTCCTTTGGAAAAGTGACCGGGTCGAAGAAGAGACTTGGGAAACAGAAGCTTTGATGAGAAAGCAGTATGCATTCCTATTTGAGTAGAGCTGTGAATTTCGGGGACGAAATTCCTGTTAAGGGGGGGTGAACTTGTGACACCGCTCCCGAAGGTCCTTGAAAATTTGATTTAAAATTCAAAGTTTATGTATTGGATTTCTGATTTCCAAACATTTGTTAAACGATTAATGTTTTACGTAATTAATGACCGATTATTATACTGTTCGAACTCGTATATTAGTATCGGGCTGGCGAATACTCATTTTGGGCCCAACCTGCTAAAAAATAGCAAGTATTCGAGAATGGCGTCCTGGATCCACTCGGGAGTGACCCACACAGCTAGTAGTCCAATAATATGTATGACAAATGTCAAATAAGTGATAGAATGATTAAAGGAGAATACAAATGCCTATAACCCCATCTTTGGCATTATTGAGCTAAATAATGGGAGTAGGATTTTCCTCCTATAATATCCATCAAGTAAATTATTGAGATGAGCCTACACATATTGGAGACCAATAATGTGATGTAGGAAGTTGACTTGTTCTAAATAAATTAGGATGAGTACAAAAAAGACATCTATTGACAAAAGATAAAACAATAGGACCCATCTTCCCATTTTTTTGGAAGTATTGGTAGATATTTTGGACCCCAAAATGATTGGGATCAATTGGGAACCACTCCACATGCCTTGGTAACATGATTGAGAGCTCTTGTATACTCCCACAACCCCCCATTCGACCCCCCAAAAGAGATAAGAGAGCAAAGGTATCCACACAACTCAAAAGGGAAGGAAGAAGGAGAGCAGTCCGCAGGTTCTTTCTTTAGTGCGAAGCTCTTACTGTTCGAGCCATAACTTGAGATTTACTCGTCCGATTAAGGCGTATAAGGTACCAAAAGAAAGCTCTCAAGACGAGGAATCCGTGGAGGTCTGGTTTGCATCAATCGGAGTAGTGGAAGGCTTCCAGATTGTCCGAACAAAACGCAACCTCGCAGAACACAGTTTTGTATTCAAAGTAAGTTTGAATCCAAAACCTTCCTTTTCATTTTCCAAATGATATGAACGATTGGTGGGACTATTATACACTACTAGGAGTGTATAATATGTCCTTATGAAGTTATTTTATTGATGTAAAGGTTAGATACTAACCTAGATGCAAATATTGGAAAACTAGGAATCGAGTTAGCCGGAAAACACCCGTTCTAGGGGCTGTTTTCGTATCAACGATTAAGGGTTGAACTAGCACTTTGAGGAGGCTGTTTAACACTCATATTTGAGCAAGGAATCAGTTCCAAATCCACCTTGACCAAAGCTTTGACCATTGGACCAAGAAGGGAAAGTTTAAAGCTCAATTGAGGTGAGGATGACCGACTATATTGCTTATAATCCTTGGGTTAATTTCATAAGATTACCTAATATAATTAAATGTGATTTTCATGGATTATTAATGATTAATAATGCCTAATGAAAATATTGTTGTTTATTAATAGAAGATGCATAATATACAAATTTATGAGTAAATGGTGTATAGTTATGCATTGTAAGAATGATGATATGATGAATGTATAAATCATGAATTTCTGTGATGAAATATGCTTTTAATTCATGTATAGAAATCATGAATGGATAAAAGTGATATTTTTGATATTGAGATTAAATCATATATAGATTGGGAAATTCATGGGAATGAGCCTTATAGCTATGAATTAAAGAGCTTGGTGGCTCAAAGACAAATGGATTAGTATTGATTTTACTAGTCGGAAATGTTAGTATGAAAAGTGATAGAACAAATCCCAAGGGCTTGGATTGTGAGAGAGGTACACCTTAAGTAGTCTTATGAGATGTCTTAAGGTAGAAATGGGTAAACGCTAAGTTACCGTAGGAGTAGGCCTCAAAGGCTACTCATAATAGAGGAACTCTAGGCATAGAACTTGCTTAGTGAACTAGTATCGTGACTAGAGGAAGCCTCTAGCACGATGAAGAATGACTGGAGGAAGCCTCCAGCATTCGTGTAGGACGACTAGAGGAAGCCTCTAGCGTAACGTAATGTGACTGGAGGAAGCCTCCAGCACAACGTATGTAAGGTGATTAGAGGAAGCCTCTAACACCAAGTGGAGTGACTAGAGTCAGCCTCTAGCACGATGAGGAATGACTGGAGGAAGCCTCCAGCATTCGTGTAGGACGACTAGAGGAAGCCTCTAGCGTAGTGTAAGATGACTAGAGGAAGCCTCTAGCATAATGTAATGTGACTGGAGGAAGCCTCCAGCACAAAGTATGTAAGGTGATTAGAGGAAGCCTCTAACACCGAATGTAGTGACTAGAGTCAGCCTCTAGCACGACAAAACATGACTAGAGGAAGCCTCTAGCATGGTAAACTGATATAGATGGGTGTGGCTTGAAGTCACGGGAGAAGGGTTAAATGTTTTCAAAGTAAACATGAGCCTTCGGCCGATTACTTGACTTTATATATAAAGTAAGTATATTTGTAAAGAGGGTAACCACGAGTTATGACCTATATTGTAATATCACCCTATTTGAGGGTCTTGGAAATTGAAACGTTGATTATACTTAGTATAGTTGTCATTGTACTTGTCAAATGCTTCCAAGTACTGACCTCCCCTTCACGGGGGAGGCCACCTCACAGTTTCAGGTAGGACTTGAAGGTTGCTACCACGCCCGTTGCTTCGGGAAGATCAAAGGAGGAGGACGTGGTTCGTGCTTCTTCCGTTTCTGTTTTAAACAATTACAATAATGCTCATGGGAATTATTTTGAATACTATTTGGGGGCTTGTATGCCCATGTTTGCCACGTGTGGCTTGAATACGTGTATTAATGTTTCCGCTGCTTTATATGAATATTTTACATTATGTTTGTTTATGGATGTACTATGTGTGAATGGTATTCAAGACGCCTAGTATAGTATGGATGAGTTGGACTGCGGTTGACTATTCGTACTGTACGGCGGGTTGTTGACGTGTCCGGTAGGTCCGGGGCGTGACATGTAACCCTTTACTCCTATCAGTATATAGTAGTCATATTTCAAAATTTCAAAACTCATTTTATCATATTTCAAAAATTTTACGATTCTTTGGGTTGTACGATTCTTTGGTCAAGTGTTTTGTGAACCACCATTTTGTGAACCTATACAATGAAGTTCCTATTTCAGTTCCTAACAATGAAATAAATGTTACTCCCTTCGTTCTCTAATAGATGTGAGTATAGGCTTTGGCACAAGATTTAAGAAGAAATTAATAGAGGTAGGATAAAAGGTGTAGTGGGTTGTGTGTAAAGGAAAAAGTAGAAAATGGAATGAAAAAGTATGAAAGAGAATGAGGGTAAATGGGTATATTTATTGAAAAAACTTACCAAAAATGGAAAGGAAGACAACTAATAGAGAACATCTCAAAATGAAAAGAGGGACAAGTATTAGAGAACGGAAGGAGTACTATTTATACTATCATGAGGTAGGTGGTAGTGGTGATGTGGAGTATTATCCATGACTAAACCCTCAACCACCAAATCTTGTGTATCTAGTGCATTTTATGTGTTTCCCGCCAATTTCCTTGCTTTCTTGCCAATCTTGTTGGTTGTCCCAAACTGAGATTTTCATGCTTGTTGGCCCCAATCAAGACAAAGCCATGGTGCCGCGCGGCGTATGCTGAGCACTTCCACCGCGGTTGTCATGTCTTACATTGTCTTTCTGACCCAGCGAGGTAAAGCAAAAGGGGGTGTGAGCTGAGCGATCCCACTTTGTGTCGCTTGGGACGGGCCGAGCATCACTTGGGCTTTGGGGCTCTTGAACTTTTCTCTTTTGAGGTATCGGGTCGACTTCTCACAGGGCCAATTACCTCAACACAAGTCCCCCACTTATAATGTTCCGAGCATGCGCGGGACATAAGGAAATATAAATGAGAGCTTATCTTGAACCGAGCGTCTCCGATGCTCCTGGTGTGTCAACTGTTTTAGGCGATTCCAAAGGCGGGTGGATCAACTTCCTAGGTAAATGTATGATGATTACTCGTCTGTTGTTCTCCGTGCGACACATGTGTTGGGATACGCTCCTCACCACGTGTCGCGCTATCATTGGTCATCAAGGGTGGAGAAACCTAAAAATATCTGCTTAAGCGGCTAGATCGGGGTTTTTCAAATTTCTGCTCACCTTCTCTCTATGCGCTCCAGCTTCTCTCTACCCGGGGTTTTGGCTTCAGTTTTTCGTTCGTCCCTTGAATCAGGTAGTTTTCCTCCCCAACCCCCTTCTTCCTTTTTTCCGGTGTCCAATCCTTCGGGCCATGATTCTGATAGTCCCTGTTCCTTGAGATCTAATACAAACTCTAGCCCCTAAGAGGCGTCTCTCGCTACAATCCAGGAAGATGTCGATGATTTGGCTGCTCAAGATGATGCCACTCAAGCTCCGTCCGATGATCATGATTCCTGTGGCGAGGCCTTTTCCGGAGATGATTTGGAGGTCTTTGAGGCCATCTGGTTGCGTGATATGTTGCACCATGAGGTGTTCCAGGCCGGGAAACGCTCGGGGCTACGAGCACTTCTTCTCTGATCACTCCATGGATCAGCTCCCAGTTTACCTGTCGTCGCCCGTTGTCTACAGTCTGAGCGAAATGAATCACCCGTTGAAAAGGTGCTTGGGGATGGTTAACCTAGATTCCGTAATAGCCGGTCTGTGATTCATGATCCACCCCTTCTTCATTAAACTATTCCAGTGCTATCAGGTGGTCCCCGCTCAGTGCTATCGGGCGATGTATTTATAGTAAGGTGGATTTGAGCATGTCTCTTTTCCATTATTTCTTCAAGATCTCCCTTCGGAATTCTTGATCGACAATTAGGAGCCACTCTAGGCGGAGACTCTTTTACGGGGGGGCTCCTCCATCCACGAGTGGAAACATCGGTTGTTTTTTGTTCGGTTCCCCGAGGCTCAACTACCAACACGCGCGATGGAATGGGTTCCCTCCAAAGGTCAGGGAGTCGCACGTCACTGGGGAGATGGGGGTAGGCTATTAAGAGAGTGCAAGATGGCGGCTTTGAACACTTGTTGCCTTATCTGACCTCCAAGGCTCTTGCCGATACGGGAATAGGTACCGCCCATGCTAATGTGCTATTGCGTTGTTTCCCCCCGGAATCACACCTAAACCCCTAGTGGTCCTTTTCATGTTCAAGGTGAGTGCCTTTTTGTTTTAGGTTCTCCAACCCCCTCAGAGATTCAAATGGAGAACGACACACTAAAGTTGGAGGGGTGGTACGTGCTTCAAAGATTATAATCTGCATTTAAGGCTAAAACGTGTGGCTTTGCATTATCTTATTGGATTATAATTTCCTCATTATGTATTATGGCCATTTTTCCTTGATTGTTGGCAATACTATGTTGATTAACATCTCTTTGGACACTTCCTTTGTGATGTTATGTATATGATTTATTTCCATGACTTTTGCATCTCTGTTTTTGCTTCTCCTTTTAGCTGCCACCTTTTCAATAAATGGGAAGATGCTCATTCTACCATACCAAATTACTTCTCCACTGTCTGAAATAAGAGGTCTGCCCACTGCCCATAGGGGCATAACTTAGTTAAGAACCTCTTTCACTTGCATGCTCTTTGTGGTCGTGTAGATCCTGCTCTTCCAAACTCTTGTAGAACCATTGTGAAATTTTAGACATGAAAACTCATTTATCATCAATATATATCACATTTTGAAAAAATGGGAGTTTAAAAAAATGGGAAAAGTTGGCTTAGATGGAACTAGGGGTGGACTGGGACGGGTCGGCCCGACCCGGAACCCGACTCCCTACTGTGCAGGCCCGGAGCCGACCCAGGTGTAGAAGAGGTTGGCTACGGGATTCGAAGAGAGACCCATAGATCCTAAAGAGCAATAAAACGAGATTAGTAACTTATTTCATCAATTATTTAATGAGTTTCATGCACATTATGTTAACACACCTCCTTCCATGAAACCAACTGCTTTTTCATCTAACGGAAAATCATTTTCAAATCTACATTTGGTAATCTTATGGGGAAAAAATCAACTCTCGCTATTGCACAAAGCTCGATTAACGAGCCTTCTTTATATATAACGTTTCCTGTTGAGTATGAAGAAGGGGATACTTTGATGTTCTTAAGTGGTGGAAGGAAAAAGAAGGAATGTTTCCGATTTCATCAAAGATGGCGAAGTAAGTGCTATCAATTCCGATTATAGAACAAAATTGAGCGCACAATCTCTTGAGATGCACATTTACTTTCACCATTGGTTGAAGGCACGACGTAGAATTAAAAAAAAAAATCCATCGCCCCCGACCGCCGCTCCATGGAAGAAAGAACAACCAATGTTGGCGGAGATTTCGACTGATTCTTACCAAATGTATTTGATGTTTGAAATTACTTTCAATTATCAATTGTACTTCATATTTCAGTAAATATACATTGATTTTTTTGTAGCACTTGTGGTTTCCTATCCTCCTCCACCCTCTGTCTAGTCTCTTGTTTCTCTGGTTTAGATTCCTTCAGGGCAACCATGGTACCTATTTTAACCTTGAAGGATTTGCTTGTAAATATCACTCGGGTCCGGATCGAAGCCCGACCTGGTACCGGTGCATACCCGAGCCGGTAACGGGAATGATATTTTTGGACCCGGACTCCCGGAGACCGTGCAGGCCCGGACCCGACCCAGTCCACCCCTAGATGTAACTATATGTCAACTTGTCTATAACAGTATATAAGCTAATAAGCCTTGTCACTCTCTTTGCACATGTCACGAAAGACTTAATTGTATTTGTGTGGTTTCTAAGCATACCTCTTTGAATCATATTGTGCAAACTTGACTTTGCAAATGAACAGGTTGAAGCTAACGCTCTAATATTAGTCATGATCAGCGAGATTTCAAAAATGTTGTTTAGATCCATTTGAATCCATTTCTTGCTTGAATTTTTGGCCCAAATGCTTCTTACATCCACTCTATCCCCTTCTCCAAGTTGCTTTTTAGCAGTGGCCAAGATCCTAAAAATATATCTTCTGGAAATTTAAATTTCGGCAGCAAGTTTAGAAAAACTTGTCTGAGCAACATCTATTTTAGAACTTATGATTTCATCAACTATGCTCTCTTTACACGTCAGATAACCTCTTACTTTTCGCATTTATGTCTTCCTGTTGTGACTGCCCCTCATTTATATGTGCAAATTTGTTGGTGAAGAAGAAGAAATGAAGGTGTTTATGGAGGATGAAGAGAGAACGATTAGGGAAGATATAGAGGGAGCACTTATGGAAGCTACTATTGTCATTAATTGTATGTGTGCGTGTAGTGCTACTTCTATAATATGAGGACAGAATGAGGCATTCAAATGTATTTATAGAAACTCCCTCTAAAACTATGAGGAACAGTGTAATCACCACCACATTAGAAATTTGATGTTGTGGCTCCACTATGTCCTGTTAAGTGTTAAAGGGGCATTTATATGTGGAATAATAGGAATAGGCGATACCAGATTAGGAGCCAACAGGCAACAACTACTTGAAAAATTCAACATTTTCAAATCAGAAATGGGCCAAATAACAAAACAATATTGCCAATGGGACCAGAACTGGACGGGAGTTGGCGGGTCAATTTTCAAGGAACCAGAACCAGAACGTACCAGGTATTACACCTCTGCCGTTCGCCCATTCCCACGTTCAGAATCATCCAACATTCTGCAGTCCAGGTTGTAAGCCCACCTAGTTCCTGTCCAGTCCAAAACCAGGTCCAACCTATCGCAGACCATAGGGAACAGACTGTTGTCTTCACTTAGGAGAGACATATACGCAGAAAAAGGTTTTATGACCATGCTCCAGAAATTGTCTAAGCTGTATGTGTGTGCCCTAATCAATAAATGCAATGCAATGATTCAAGAAATTCATCTCAACTTACACTTTATCAGTTTAAAAGCAAATCAAATCAAACCCGATTTAATTTAAAAAAGAAAGGACGCAACATGATGTGAAGCTTTTCTATCAAGCCAAATAATGATACAACTTCCTATCAGTTTTATCTCTTTCTAAAAACTCCCGCT